TGTAAAACAATTGATGTTAGCCCCACATTCGCAATGGACCCATTGCACAATCGGTCCCATCAGCATACATGGTTTAATCTATTTTTTTCTAGACGTCAGGGTAGCAAAGTATGAGCAATAGTGAACTATTATCTTCGTTTTTGCCAGGTAGATAATAAACTATCCTGGGATCATACGTCATCGAGTGCACGACAACTGAGTATATATACGATAGCCCACTATGCTACAGGTTTATAGTATAAATTAATATTACCTATATGTTATTCCGTTATAGCATTAGAATCTGCATTTACCAATGGGGCTCTGATCCCCCTAGCCAAGTGCTCTACGCCAACCAGGCTGTGCGTTATATATAGTAAGAACAGATACCTTTTAGCTTTTAGCATAGAACGAGCGTGTTATCCATTGCCCTTTGGTGGGGACTGATTGTCAAATTTATGTAGATTGTTAAACAACAATAATCAGCCTAATTAATTATTCAATGCACTGTCAATTAAACGAAGTTGTTAATGCTAATAGTTAAGCTATAGTGATCCCAGCTGAACAACGAGATGCCCAAGTACGTTGTTACGAGGCGCCAAACATGGTAGGAGTCTTTTAGAATTGTAGAGTATGTAATAGCTTATCGGCAGCTGGTTCTTTAATTGAGCCTAAAACTATTTTTACACACCATGCTGACCAGGAAGAGAATGATCATATCAGCGCTTCTGAGCGAATACTTCACTGGTATAAGTTCGGCAACTAAATTCGATAAATTTACACTGAAAATTATTATAGATTTTTCCCATCATGAATTTGTTACGATGCAATCAAGTATAGCAATGAGTCTTGCTCGAACGCCCTTTTGTCTTTCCCATTTGTTGTTCGGATCTGCATGGTAAGTTGCGAAATGTACACGATCTGCGTGATAGGTTAGGTCGTAAGTAACGTATCACTTACAAGGTACAGTCTCACCCGACTGACGTCGGCGTATCTGCCACTTACATTAGTGTCGTGTATTAGAACTGGTGGTGGCATCACTAAGATTGCAGTCGGTTCTCTAGGGATACGCCAGTTTGAACGAGTTGAAATGACTCACTCTATGATAGTTGTGTCCAATACTGTAGAACTAACTTATTCAATCAACTTAACTGGAGGTAAGCCTACTTATCAAAATACCTTTGAGGCTAACCCGATGCTCTGCTCGCCATTTCAAATACAGCGGATTCATCGAATAAGGATGAACAAGCAGCTCTCTTATTTAAACCACTACAGCAATTGAAGATTAGACAATAGAGCTTTCAGTAATATACTTCCGCAATGGAAAATGTCTATACACTCGAAGGACCTCTATAGCTAAGTTTCACAGCTGCGATCTAACGTGGTAAATGAATGCTTTTCGTCCGAGCGTAGTAATACAGAGTATTATTTCAAAAAATCAATCCCTAGTCTGTGTCTAGATTTGTCTATTTTTTACGAAAAAAATAACTGTTTTTTTTTTCAGGTCCATAGTTCCCCGATCTAGGCAGGCGGTCGATAAAAGCAAAAGGGGAAATGTGTACAACGCTAAAGAACCCAACCTAACTTAACTCTGCCATTTATTCTACCCACCCTATCTCCGGAAGGGATACATCTTATTTTCGATCACTTCCGACTTGGATGGTACTTTGAGCGGGATTTTTCCATTGCCAAAGCTTACATTTCCTATCCTCTAATAATTGATAAAATAACGGGTCACTGCTACTTGTTGTTCGAAATTTGGTCTCAGGATGTCCTTCCGTTACTCGGCGTGCAGCGTCATCAGTCTCAAAACTATTGCAAACTGATATTAGACGATTAAAATGACTTTGTCTTTTCCTTATCCTTTATACATCAGTTAGTAAATGCCTGCAGACTGGGGCCCACTCCAGCAGGGCGAGCGCTGCTGCCCTACGTTAGCCATTCATTAGGCGCCTAGAACACACCTCGTCGTTACGACACATTCATTGTTTTGTAACGAGGAGTAAAGTGTCGGAACTTAAATATCTTTGAGCCAGTCGGTTGAAATGGAGATTTTAGGTCGTATGCACAGCTTGATTTGGAAGAAAAAACACTAAATGATCCCTCACACACACGCGCTTAAAGATTTCGCTAATGCCGATACACCTTAATGCATAGTTTGAGATCATTATGTTCGTTAAAGCCGTTTCAATTAAGGCAACTGTCCTCACCCGAAGGTCTCAATCAATTCATTAGTTGTGAACCAGAGAACTCATGAAGTGAGCGAGTGGAGGTAGGTGGATAACAGTTCGAACAAAACTGACGTCCTCTGTCAATACAGACTTTTACTTACTTGGCCTCATGCTATAACAGTAGCGATATACATTTTCACGAAGGACATTGGCTCGCAAGGCAGCGAAGGCGCACAGGACTCAATCTTTGTGAAATGGACTTTGGGAAATATGAAACGTAGCAATTTTGACATATTATAGCGACGAGAAGCAGTAACAAAACTGTGCCATGCGCGTAGAGAAATCTTTCTCAGTATCGAATTGCAGGTCTAGGCTTTTCTAAAAAGCCATACACTTCAATACAACGTTAGATAGTGCCTGGAATTCAGATGCGTTGCCGAATTCCTGCTCTGGTCCTGCAGAGCATAGCCAAGGACCTGCGGCATGTGTTTATTTGGTGGTTCATTATTACTTACACTAATTTCTGTGAATTTTCCACTTTACGCCGCGAGTATTATTTATGAAAACTCGAAAAAAATACAGATCTTAAAGAACTAAAAATTCCTATTTGCAAAGGCTTGGGGGGGGGGGGGGGATCAGAACTGCGATTATTGCAAATCTGGCCTAACATCATGCTAGTCAAAAATAGAAGGAAGCTTCAGTTTAAATACGTTTAAAATATCCACATAGCTGAGAGCTGAAAAGTTTTAGTAAACATTTCAAAAGTCAATTCGTACATATTTGTACCTTCGTTGTGTATGAAAATTTCTTAGAAATACAAGCAACGTCCATGGAAGTCATTGTTATAAAATTGCGTCTACAAGATTCAATTTAGCAGCCCATTCATGCTATATTAGAATGTGCTAGAATAGATACCGTTATATAGATAATTGTATGGTTTTGCTACTACATATATTCAAAACATGGTTCAAGTTCAGTAACATTAAAATCTAATTTTTTTTCTAATTGAACTTCTAGCCAAGCCTAGTTCGCACCGCCCTATTTCAGACTGATATCATGTCCATAGCTTAGTTGATCTGTCTGAGACAGAGCAGATGCACGAAAGCTTTGCCCATGGATTCTTCTATGCTCGCATTATATGTCCCGTCTCAGTTGAGCTCCTATCCAAAGTCACCTTAAAAAGGTCTTACACGGGACATTTTAAGGCTTTAATTGCTAAATCTAAGATCTAAGGTGCGCGATACTTCAACCCTCCGGAATAACGAGATGAGCGATGGTAAACCATAAATGGCCTATTCATTGGCATTCTAGTTACTAATATAACGATATTTTTTAAGGTATGAAATGTTGGCCTTCTTGCAAAGTGGAGCAAAAAGCCTTTACGCTGAAATACTACATTGGGTATCTTTTCTATCTGGGCACTTTCCATCGTCACACAAAATAACTTAACAACGGTTCTAGTCAACTTTGGAGTTTAGCATATATTTTGAGAATTAGTACGTTCATTTGTGTGCTAATCAGCGTCAGCTTAGTGCTGCTTCGAGCTCTGAACCCATAATTACCTTAAAATCAATAGCAGTACATTTGCTCATCACATCGATCCTAGGCACTGGCCAATTTTAGGCTTTAGGTTATCCTGGTCACCATTAGCAATATTATTTTAGTGCCGAGATCATTTGATCGGAAACGGCGTTCTGTTATCAATTTCATATGCCAACACCATATGATAAGTACGTCTAGCTCAACCTGGTTTTATCGGCTAATCCAGCTAAAAAGCCTCAAGTGTATATGGTTCTTCTCATCCCATGATACCGAAGCTATCTTTTCCTAATTTAAGAGATCTTTATTCCAGAAAATAAACATTAATAAAGCAAATCAACAAGAATAAAATAGAGTTTTTCACTTCTCTATGTGTATTTAACACTTGCCGTAGTATCTACTGCAGGGGCAATCATAGCTTGTTATTGACGGCCATGCAGCGCAGAAACGTTATTAAGCTTGACACGGTTATTATATGCGCGTGTGGGTAATCGTTCTCTCGTTGTATTGTAGAATGTGTGATTCGCAAAGCCACACGTTAAACTAGCGGTGGTCTCCAGATCCTTCATTGTATTTCGGAACCAACGGAAACCAAATTAAGTAAATCAGATGCGTTATACGAATTGCTTTAGAAAGGATTTAGGCAGCCTTGTACGGGCCCTCGAATAGTCGTATGAGTAATAAAGTGTTTGATAAAGAACAATGAATAAATTGGATAACGTGCGTTGCTTTCTCGACACCGGATCAGTCCTCAGCGTAAATAGCGTCATATTTACCCCACATGGTACAAATGGAGGAAAATATAATAGCATATAAATAGATATCTGGCTAACTTACCCGTAAATACTCTAAATCGATTAATGTCTACTAAATATGTAGACATTTTATAGAAAAATGAAGCGGAGTGCTTCGAAAAATGAGTTGGATTGAACGGTGTTATATGTACGTTGGTGACTATCCAGATTACTTCTACAAGTCTGGATTCCCAAAGCGCTGGTCTTAAATTGTTCTACCCTCAAGCAGAACGACTTTTATTTCGTATTTAGTCGAATGAGCAATAAATTTTTCCCACTAACTTTTGCATGGAATTTCCAAATCACTATTCAATTCACCATTTGGTCTATATGATCCTATGCACACCAAAAAAAATTTTGCATATAACATTTCTATATGAGGTTTACCTCCGCCACTTTAAGGGTTAATTGGTATTCCATCGTTCATACGCTTTATTGTGAAACAGATCGTTTTCTATAGGAAATCCGCATGGTATTATTCTCGCTGTTGACCAGAGTAGATAGAATACACAGAGGATGTGTGAAGCTGATATTCGATTTTTTTTTAGGTTTTATTTAATAGTTTCGCTGTACAGTAACTATTATTATTACCTGAATTAGTTAAACCTGTTCGTCTTTATTTTGAAGTAAATCTTCCCGATCGAAAAGCATACCTCCACGTATATACTTAGCATTTCATTGTTTTATATCAGTCGTATCTTCAAAAGTTAGTAGGGATCGCTCCAGTATATCCAGGAATCTTTGTGGGTGGGGAAGCAAAGTTTTTAACAATCGCCTGCCAGAAGGCAGTCTTGGCTTCGACGCCTTCGGTGACAGGCTTCGTGGAGGCAGCAGCCTCGGTTTCTATCGCAGGTTTTTCAGCTTCTGATTTGACGTAGGTGTTGCCGACAGCAGAAGCTTTGGCAGAATTTGCGATCGTCTTTAACCCAATATCGCCAACAGCGAAACTCTGCGAAGCAGCTGCGGATCCATCGGAGCCTGCAACAGCTGAGTCATCGCTAGCAGAAACGTAACCGGTACCGTCTACGCTTTCAGCTTTTGTGACAACTTGTGCTGCCGTAGCTATAAACTCTTCCGGTGTTGGCGTTGTGGTGCAAATGATGGTGGGGTCACAGCCGGCTGAACAAGGATCGGTGCAATCCCCTTGAGCGGCGCTGAAGTGCTTTCCATCAGGGCACCTCAGCTTGGATTGAAACCAGGAACTGCATAAATAGTATCTATAAAGGAATAACACAAAGCATTAGTAGGGTCGCCTGATTTGTGATGACACACTTGTGTTGATAATCCTTAATCAATAGCACGATAGGTTTAAAATTAAGAAGAACTCGTATAGAATAAGAATGCAGTTCGCTAGCAGATTATCGAAACTCACTGTGAGCAATCACTGGCATCTGGAATTTTCTGTAAAAACGAGTTGTCGACGAAAGCATCGTTGCAGACCTTATTTGCGTTAGCACCTCCAGACACGGTCGCTCCAAACGCTACCGAGGACAAAATAATAACCGCAGTTACGAGAACCAATTTCATTTTACATACACACACGTTCATATATCGTCAGCCAAAAACACTCAATGCGAGTGGTAACCGGTACGGTAAGACCTCTTCTCAAGTGCGTCTGTTCCACCTTTTCGTTTCTCACAATGACAACTCGTTGAAGTAGTCGCCGATATAGTGTCTTGGGGATCGCAAAGAAGTTTTTTTTATAATACGAGGTAGATTACGTCAAGTCTGCTCAAGATTTGCTAATAACGTAACAGGGCATTTACCATTCTAGAAATCCACGTTATCTCCACCGATCGATAAGGTAAGGGCAATAAATGGAGCATCATATCTTATTTGATGCCCTATCTCCTAAAAAATGTCTTTTACAGACATCTTTATAATTGCACATTTGGTAATCTGTAAATCCTTGATGATAAGACCGTAGCTATTACACGATGTATGTTTCTCTAGTCGTAATATTTACAAGGCAGTTTATGTTGCGCATGTTTACCTGTACCCTAGGCCTTGTCATCATACAATGACCTACGGGAGTAACAGGAAACACACATTTGGACTTCCACTGGAAAGTTTTCAACTTCCTGTAGTTTCTAAATTGTTTGTCAATACGGGTTTTTGGTAATATTTAAAACTTTAAACAGCGAATATAGTTGAGGAATATGTTGAGCAGAGTCGGCTTAACGCTGATATTGGCAGGATTACTTGAACGATATGCAAAGGCCAGCTATTAGCTGATACGTTATCGTATCACCATGAAACAAAATCTACTGAAGTAGCAGATGAAACGTGCTCAGAGATATGAACAAGTACCGAGTTAGACGTCCGATACAGTTACCCTGCACAACAATGCCATTTGTACTTTAGTTATTCTATTAGCAAAAATCACAAACTATTTTTCTTCCAAGCCTAAGTGGTGCATTGTCAAAAAAAATACTGAGTTTTCTTCTACCTAGCTGGCCGTAGAATTACGTATCTCACGTAATATCGGTCGGAATTAGTGTCAGTTGAATGCTGAGATTATGATAGATATGCTAGAATAATTGCAATTGCCTTCACTGATACTTAATACGGCGTGCCTAGAAGATATGTGAAGTTCCTGGAAAGAATTACTACACTTCACAATTACTCATTTAGCTAAGCAGGACCAGTACGCTAATAGCTTCCACATTGCCATTAAACAAAACGTTAAAAACACGTTAAACCAAACGTTTTAAAGCGTTTTAAGGGAGCCGATTACGGAAAAGAAGCTCGATGTTCAGATACTGTATGAATCGACGCAAACGGATTCCCGACTGATCGTCAATCGACGAACGGTTTCGTGAGAGATAATACGAGGTTAAGAGGAAGTTTCAAAATCAACAAGGCCTAAGCACGTGCATAACAGTGGTATATGAGATAAAACACATACAATCGAAGAAATCATCGAAGGGATGACTAGGCGAGCTTCCAGTGGTATAACAGTACTTCCCGACAATTTCAAGATGTGATGAAGAAAAAAACCCTGATTAAAATAGGACCGGGGCCGAATATTTATCGCCACTTTAGACGCTCCGCACGCGCACTAAACAAGCGAACCTAAACAGATCATGTTGTCCTGGATTGACGCCTTCCTCTTCTGGAGTCAGTCATAATTGACTCCTACCAATCACGTTCTCATTAGGAATATCTCCAAGAGCGATCTTCGAACACGTCGTCTTCCGCGCTGATTTCCCCGTTGACGAAGATAGAGTCACCGAATTCATGAGTCTATGGGAAACTGGCAGTTATTCGTAAGTTCAGCGTAAACATGGGCTTGAATTTGCGGTTAGCCGCGCTGAAATGAGGGGACCAAGCTACACAGAAATAGCCTGTCTCTTTAGTATTTGTGAGCAGTTCGGGCTCTGCAATTTTTTAAATCAATATTTCCTTTGTTTATCAATAATAATATCGTAACCTCGAAAATGTGAAATTTAATAACATTCCGGTACTGTATTCTGTAAGCTAAATTAGATGTTAGGAATTGTAGTATAAGAGCATTGTGTTATGCTTTCCTATCTGTCATGTTAACGCCCATGCATAGGAACGATAACATGCAGGCGCTTTTTCTTTTGTTAAGCTGAATTAACCACACAAAGTCTTACTTCCCAGTGAAAACCCGAAATTTCGTGCAGCTCCCAAAGCTGAAAATTTCACTATTGCGTTTTCCCTAAATTATGATGTATGTCAGTATAAGGTGGATAATTATGAACACTTACGCGGCTGTGTTTGCTCTGGTTAGCGATCATAGTGATACTTATCCAGGCTTTTAGTACAACATAAACGTCAAACCAATTTATAAATGACCCTGCACCTTCATCTTTATAAGGCTCATAGAAAAACTCCTGCTTTAAAAACGTTTTGCTATGCTTTGCTGGTCGCTTCTATCGCTGACGACTAACGGTTAAGCGCAGGGACGACGATTTGGACCAAGCGTAAATATTGAAATATCAAAGGAAAATGCATATAACCTAAAAAACATTTACTGCCTGACTTCACTATTAGGTTGGCATTGTAACCCAGAAGTCATGAAAAGAAGATTTGTTCATCACCAATCGTGCATCGATCAACAACCATTTGTCCATCTACAGGCGTAATCATAAAAAACACATGAATTTGTCCATCAACAACGTTCATGTACTTTGTATAATCTTGTATGATAAGTTCAAAACAATACATTGTTAAGTGTTTCAATTTTTTTTTTCTACATTTTCTACATATTGTAGCCATTCTATTCTTTCGTTAAAGTTATTTTTCGCGTGTAACTTAGTTCACATATGAGCCGTACAAGAAAATCGATAAAGACCTTCATTATATTTGTTTTGCGGCAAACGATCACCACCCGCGTATATGGAGTCCCAATAGCCTCGCTCATAGAAAGTCCCTCGTTAAGAGTTGGGCACTTCTTCATTTCGATTTCGGCCATATAGCAAAGATTGAAAACGCAACTTTACTATCAATAAAAACAAGTGGTCGATAGTCAATTTTCAACAGTTGACATTTACGGATGCCAGGCTAGCCTCTACACGCGCTTGAAGCTGCTCGTCACACACCTCAAGGTAAATATCATCCTTTTATGTGAGTTATGTTATCTAGGTTAATGGCCAACATACTGGCGCGGTAGTTCCTTTTTGGTGTGAATGGCCTTCGTATGTCCGTGCAAAGTTGACTCTGTTGTAAATGTCAAATAACGGTGCATACATTCGAGTCGGTAGTTCATGTGCCTGACGAGTATGTGCGTCCTGAAGTTTGTTTTCGTGGCAAACTTTTTAGCATTAGTTAATTTCGTTGTCATTTGCTGTCATTGCATGAGCCTTCAGGTGCTTGTCGAGTTGATCGCGACGCGTAAATTCGGCAGGACATCCTGTACATTCGAATTCACGGTCAGCATCGTGCGGTAACAGATCCCGTTTCAAGTGGTGTGGTCTGTTGAAAAATTTCCCACATTTCGTGCATAGATATGGCTTGTTGGCACTGTGCGATATTAGATGCTGCCTACGTTTGTAGAATGTCAAACACGCTACGCTCCACTGGCCGCACTTGTATGGCAACCCATCACCATGAAGTCCTTCTTTATGCTGCTTCTGGCTTTTCTCAAGTTCAAATAGTTCTCCATAAAGTAGACAGCTACTATTTTCCGTGGTATTTCGTATTGGAATCATTCTGACATCTATTATCGTGCGTATATAGCTCACCTGTAATAAACAAAAAAAAAAAAAAAAAAAAACAGAAAATACGAAAAACGACCGACGAAATCTCAGCTACCTCGATAAGGGCTGATGAAGAAGTTTCGGGCAGGGTCAACCGTTTGAGGCATCTGAAGTTTTCGCCTCGTCTGCCAATTTCTATTCGACTTCTTTATGTAAATTGCTCTCATGTTAAGTAGTACATCAGCTGCACGTCTTCCGCTCTGCTATAATTCACTTCCAATAAGAACGTTCAAAAGAATCTGAGTCTACCTCCAATAGATAAATTCAGCGAAAACGATATTGCCACATGCGATTTATCTGTAATGTCGTGTGATGAAGACCTAAAACACCTATGTATATATCGATAAATTTAACCAACGGAAAGTATTACTATCTCCTTTAGGACATTCTCACTGGTGGCCGCCACTTCTTCAGCGCAACTTTTAGCGCCATCGCTTGTGAAAAAAAGTAAGTGTAGAAAAAAACAAAAGATAACTTTTGTTTGTCTGAAATATCCTTACACTGAAATACTAGAAATAAAGACAGAACAAGGGAACTGCGTGTCATTTGAACCGACGCGTATAACAGCTTTAGAAAGTATAAAAGTTAGATACAATTATTGCTGTGTATTGAAAAATAAGCGGTAAAAATCGGCTCGCACCCCATTTTATATCTGTCGATAGAAGGGCGGACAAAGGAAAGTGTACTATCTAAAAAAACCACTCACTCAATAGGCAAAATATGTATGGCAAGGTGCATTCCAGACACCTCTACTAACCTACAAAAAAATCAGGTTAAAGCAATTACTCCGGGACAGATTTTGAGCGACTGAAGCGAGTGACAGACAGCCAGCCTATCGATTATGTAATACTTACATCAAAGGGTCCAAGCAACAGCAACGTAAAGATGCCAAAAGCGAGCTTGTGGCCAAATTTTAATGAAACTAGTATGCAACTTTAGATATCGTCGGATCAGAGCTACATGGCACAACCCGAAGCGATGTAGATACCTTTTGTGTCAAGACATAAAACGTACACATAATCATATAACGCGCTCTTAGGAAATTAGTTTCTCCTCGCGTACAATCTGCACGTGGCACAGGTGATGATGGCGGTGTATCAGCGCGAACAAAATACATGGATCTAGGAGACACTGCTCGTGCTTCGAGGACTACAAATGTTTTCTTCGAATAACAAGCAATGAAAATACTTAAATGATAACCATTGATGTGCCGCACTGTTATTTGCTCTACGAAACTATAATGGCCTATTTAAAAAATTTTATTAATTTTTAGGAACCAGTATAGATACAGAAATTGCTCTCCGTAGCTAAACCTTCACTTATAGGTATTTTAATAAGTTTAACATCGACTTAGCTTATATTTAAGAACGTGAAGTTTACGACGATACTAGAAATCCAAACTGCCTAAGCGAGCAATAACCTTTGAAACTCTCTCAACTCAAAATATAACTTATATTGAACTAAGGACATATGCTAAGGATTATTTATTTATGCTATATTATTTAAAAATAATGATGAGAGATAATTGTTGAATTAGTACGGCAAATACCTAAAGAAGGTTTTACTCTGTTTATTAATCTATTAATATAAGCTCTTAATAATAATAATAACCTATTAATATTTATAATCAAGTAGATGTACCTCCATATCTATAGTTAAATTTTTGAGCATTGCCGCAGTGCCCATAATGAGGGAACTTCGTCACAGAAATGCACACTGTACATACAGCTATATATATATATATATATACATAGCTTCAAAAATATATACGGGAAACAGGGAAAAGCCTTCATCCACTTGTGAAAGTCAGTCGTACCTTCAAGTTTTCACGATCTCCGTGATTTAAAACTAGAACTGTGTCATACTGTTTTTTTAAACGAATTCCTATAGTCCCGTATGTATATATTATTTCGTGTTCTTAAGTAACTTTTATGATTGAAGCGGGCTGCTAGGTTCTCACTAAATGAATGTTTTGTCGAAGTCGAACACGAGCGCCTTTCTCGAATTATCTCTCATATTACGTGATACAAATTTCCTCTGCAGAGTGGGCTTATTTTGCGTGCATGCTTTTTTTATCGGCTATCTCTGACCCAGTCTAAAAATATACTTAATAACACCGGTCTTGAGTTTGCTAAAAATTCATTCTAAAGTTTGTTATAGATCAATCCCATAAAATCGTTGAAACGTTTTAGGAGTTTTACCTCCGCACACACTTACAGCTTCGAATTACTGACCAACAGGTAAAGCTTCGCGTCCATCCTTACAAGGATGAGTAAGTGAAGACGCGACAATATGCTGAGCGCCCAATTCGAACGAACACCTAATCCATGATACCCGATTAAGCTATATCGACCATGTAGACATCTGGTAAGATTGTTGCACAGCGAAGGTTATATACCTATTCTACTCCTTACTGCGCTAACAACATAGTATCCGATAACTGTAATCAAATATAGGCTATCACAAGCGAATCCGACGAACTTTGGAATCAACTTGTGTCCCTAGAAGACTAAATTCCAGTCTTCCAGAAAGTTGTAACTGAAAATCGGTTGAGTTTATAACAGGAAAAATTAGTGTAGAAAGAAAACTATATTCTAGTGCTGAAAATCAAAGCATGGCAGTTTAGTCTTTGTTCCCTGAAGTTTACAACGTTATGACAATTTAGCGAAAATTGGCGAGAGGTTAGCCAAGAAGGCCTTAAGCAAAACGATGTTCAAGCGGTGCAAATGTCTCAAGAACAGAAATTGAAGTACTAAAGATGTCAGGACTTGAAGGACAAGAACACAACTGAAGCTTTTTTTTTTTTTTTTATAAAAATGGACCTTAAAGTCTAAAGGCTCTGTTAGCCACAATTGGCATTTCGCATACACCGTCTTGTAGAAGCATAACTCAAATTCTTAAAATACAGCATCGGAGTAAAAAATAGCCCTAAGCAGTACGGAGAACTGTGTGATATATTTCATATGCGATAGAAAACCCGCCTGGACTATATGGCCACCATAGGCGAGGCATATTCAGGAAGGAACCTGGGAAGGAACCCAGGCAAGAGAATCGCGTTGGCTTAGAAATAAATGGAACTCACCAACGAGATAGGGTAGGGTAGCATACAAAGTGGTGGCACTGCACATCAGAGGCATCTCTTATTACGGCATACTCGCCTAAAATGAAACAATGGAGGTAGCCTACTATTTCGAGTTCATGGACAAGTACATGGGAAAAAATTTATGGACTCCTGACACGATCGAAAATCGGAGGCACATATTATAGTTGTTATTTACTGACAGGATCGGACTTCATTGTCATGCCTCAATCGCTTGATTGAGGATTGACCAAAGGAGTATCTGAGGTTGGCGTCAACCTGCTTATTCTTTCGATCTAAGTCGATGTGTTTAAGAGGCTTTCCAACAGTTTATCTCGATTTACTTTAAGGAGCCACAGGGAAAAATTATATATGGGAATGCGACTACTAGCTATATGGCTGCTTCAGAGTTGCCAGAGTACCTCCAGCAGAGCAGCATAAAAAAATCGCCATGCTGGCTCAACTTGTTCAAAGGTTATCCCTTTTAAAAGTCTGATGTAAAGATTCGCCTGTAAAATCTTAATACAACAGATTTTAGCACATAAAGATTTGAATACCTTTTTTTAATCTCAAGAGAACGCACGTTCTTCTTCTCTATATAGAGCACATGCAAAAATAATTAGAGCGCCGCCGAATTGCACGATTTCGTCGAACGAACACGATGTCAAATTATAGAATTCAAATCATGCAAAGTTCATGCAGTGAAAAGTACTTGTAACGGCCATATATTTAATATAACAAATATATGGCCGTTACAAATGAAAAAAAAAAAGTTAAAAATCTGATATTGTATTTTTAAGGGCCAATGAATGACCTGAAAGCTCTAGTGCTATAATGATATTGCAATACGAAGATTATTTCTTCAAGTGAAGATATCTTTGTTTACAACGAGTTGGTGTTCGATGCTGACAGCTCTTGATCTGAGCAGATGGCTACTTGAATATGTCTTGTAGGTCATAAATTACCCAGAACAGCGGTTTGAAAGCAATATTTCGCAGGACCCGCAGAGTTACTATAGGTGAGTCGTATAGCTTCAACTATGATTTTCCCCATGGTAGAATATCCGGTTCGTACGCTGTTCGACTTGCATTCAAGATGCTCAAAACCATGATTTCGTCAGAGGTCTTCTTCACGCTTACCGCCATCGTCACCTGGCTTAATTGTCGCCCTCTAGCGTTCAAAATTGCTTTCGTTGGTAGCCAATGTGGCGAACGTGGTTTTGCCTCTAGCTACCATCAACCTGGAGCTCTACCTCTTCCGCGAGACTTGATAACTCAGCTCGCATACGGGAAAAATCTAAGTCATGTAGTATAAATAGAATCTGAAATGGATAATTATAATAACGGCAACGGTGGTACAATACAACAGTGATGGCATACAATGTTTTGCGTCTTATGGACATTTTTATTATTATTTTCAGCAGAACCTAAGACTTGTTTGAACTGCGGCTCCATTAATAAACTTGGATTCGTGATGAACGATTTTTACGTAAGCGCAATTCCGTTTCAAACGTACGGAATGTCATATTTCAAAGATAAAGTTAATATACGTGACAACGTAAGAAATTTTGTAATATACATTGTTTTTCATGAAGGAAAATTAGATACACGTTAAGTAAGTTGACTGAGTGAAAATAGAATTGGTATCAATGATTATCTAGAAAGTTACCGTGAAATGTAATAGGATTTTTTTTTCACGGTTCACAGAGTCTATAAGTTCTATGAAATGAACTTTGTTTTTGTTACCTTATTTTATAGTACTACTCTAAATATCATGCAACTTAAATTGAACAATCTTCAATATATTTCGTAGATTTTCGCTAATTGTTCATTAATGGAGATGTACACCATATAATTAGTTTTAGACACTTCGA